CTTTGTGCTCATAATATGTTAGCTATTTATAACTGTGTCAAAAGTTGTATTGACAGTTTTATTTTGAGACAAACGCGTCGCTTCTCCTCTGTGTAATGAAGCCCGTCAAACACGTCATTTAGTATTGTCGACACAAAATTCCAGATTTGTCTAGGAAAATTCAAAATAACAAACTCAATAATACAATTTCTCTATCTCAATTCCAATAGAAAATTAACAAAATACAAATTTAATGGTAATAATACGATGAGAGAAACTAGTTAACCTGATATTACCGGAGACAATACGTACTGTCTATTAAAGACAAATACGTATGTTCCTCGAGATCCGATTATTCAAGTATAATCTGTGCTCGGTTCAAAAGCAAGCGAGTTCCAAATGTTAATCTGTCGCCATTAATGCTGTCACTAATTGAATTGATGATAGGAGACTAGAGTAACTATGAGATTAGTTTTTCTAAGGATAGTCTGTGGCGAGCTTAAAATATAATATGGTCTTTTGTGTCCCAGCTTCTGGGCTATTGGGCGAAAGTGTTGTCATCAATCAATTTGCCGAAGAAAAGGTAATGATAATGTTAATTTAGGATGAGATATTTTTGTGACATAAACATTAGATTACGTCTGTTATAGATTTATAACTAAAAGCAAAGTATTTATTTTAATTAGAACAACAAAAGAACTTTTGAAAGTTCGGAATACAAATAAAGTACGTTATTTTTTTGTTTGTTAATCCTTTAGTAGGGCTAGTTGCTACGTAATAAAGATTAAAATAATCAGACGTTTCTTTCTATAAAAACAACAAATAAATACAATAAGTGGTGGTGCTTGAAATAATAAAAAAAAAACAATCAACAAGATTGTTTTCTACTGAAAAATGGTTCTCGCTTTTCGTGAAATTTTACCGACAAATAGGGTAAGAAAGAAAGAAAGAAAGAAAGAAAGAAAAGAAAGAAAAATAAATTTATTCGTCGTCAGACATGGACCACCGAAAATAAAACAATATAAAAAACATAAAATAACAAAAAAAAACAATAAAACAAAAAAAACGTTATATAAAAAAAAAGCAAAATAAAAAGAGACCGGGTGGCAGCATGTCCACGACGAAAGGGCCCGCCAACTCAGCATAAGCTGGGCACAGTAAGTACCCAACACTGGTTTTCAGTTGGCACCCCTGCAGTGACGCACGGACGGAGGCAACGAAAAATTATTTAAAGGAAAATAATGGAATACATAACTCTGTTAAAACAATAAAAGAAAAGGAAGATATTATTTAAACACAGACCTCTGTGTGTGCACATTGTGCGATAAATAAATAAATAAATAAAAAATAAGTATACATACATAAACTAGTGCTACGTGTACCGTCACCGAAGAGAAGAAAAATAAAAACATTATAAACCACATATATCACGACAATTAAAATAGTGTGGGTAGGTTGTGGTCGTGAAGCTATCGCGCAGCCCGACACTCATTGCGAGAGGTTACAGCGAGCAGGTCGACACTTCGCCAGCACTGACGCAACAACAAGGGGCTCGAGGGTGAGTATGTGAGATATCCTACGTTACATTAATAATGAAAGCAATAAATAATTATAATTATAAAAATAAATAAATATGAAAATGTGACTAACATAATTTGTGTACCCAATTATACGAATAAAATAAAAAGAAGGATAAATGTCAGATTAAATAAACGAAATGTCAATATTGATAGATTCACTCTCAATTTGAGAGTTAATAATAAACTCCTTGAGTTTTCTTTTAAAAGTGAAAGTGCTTTGCAGGTTCCTGATTGGCGGAGGTATGTTGTTCCAGCACTTAGAAGCTGCATATCGGAAACTACCCCGAAAAGCAGCCGATTTGTGTTGCGGTATAGCCAGCTGTTGTGCACACCGCCTACCCTCCCGCTGCCGATGAGCATTCACCCATGAGAGCTTCGAGTAGAGGTATGCTGGACACTTGTACTTAATCACACCAAAGAGGAGACATGCCAGGTGGAGCTTACGTCGGGACTTCATTTTTAGAAGATTGTACTTGTTTAAGTAAGGTGTTATGTGACTCCTAGGTGGAATTTTAAAACAAAAACGCGCGCAGGCGTTCTGAACCCTCTGTATCAATCGCTCAGTGCGTGAAAACAGTCTAGGTCCAATAACCGCGTCAGCGTAGTTTAGCTTGGATAAAACCAACGACTCAACCAGCCGCACACGCAACTCCTCGCTTAGATACGGGCGCATTCTGTAAAGTATCTTCAAGCGGTAAAAACAGTTTCTGACGCAGTTAGAGATGTGGGACTCAAACCTAAGACCTTGATCCATTATCAGACCCAAATTTCGCGCTTCATAGACACGCTCAATGATTTGACCCCTCAAGAGAACGTTAATATTACTAGGAGTCTTGTAAAGTTGCGTCTTTGTTCCGAAAAGCATAAATTTTGTTTTGGATGGATTTAAGATGAGGCAGTTACTGCTTGACCAGTTCACTATCCTGTCGAGGTCCTCATTAATTGAATTTACAGCACTCGCGTATTCTTCCGGTCTAAAGGACAAGTAAATCTGTATATCGTCAGCGTAGATATGATATTTGCATGTTTTTATTATATTGATGATGTCAGCACAATATAATAGAAATAGGGTAGGCCCTAAAATGGATCCTTGGGGAACTCCCTTCGTCACAGGTTTCACCTCGGAAGCCAAGAAAGATCCATTAGCATCGCGAAATTCAACCTGCTGCGCACGGTTGCTGAGGTAACTATCGAACCATTTAATTGTTGGTATATCAAATCCGTAGTACGCCATTTTAGAGAGTAATAGAGATAAATTGATAGCATCAAATGCCCTCGAGAAATCCAGCAGGACCAATATAGTGCACAAACCCTCATCCTGCGCAGCCAGTATATTGTCAGTGACGTCCAACAAAGCCGTGGCCGTACTACGCCCCCTCCTAAAACCAGATTGCGCATCCGGCAGAACACTGCTGTCCTCTATAAATTTGGAGACCTGTTCGTTTACCACCCTTTCCAAGACCTTAGACATTAAGGGTAGAATGCTAATAGGCCTTAAATTTTTAAGATCGCCAGGATTGTTTACTTTGGGTAGAGGACGTACCTTAGCTAATTTCCAGGCGGCCGGAAAAGTTGCCGTTACTATGGAGGCATTTATAATACGCGTCAGGACATTCAAAGTTTGTGGTATTGTTAACAAAAACATATTCAGTGCTATCTGGTCACAACCTTCAGCATTTGATTTTATGCTGGTTATTATCCTTAGAATCTTCATGTCATCGGTTGTATTAAGGGAGAGGATGCAATCAGAGAACCTATGAAATTCATAGTAGGTGTAAGTCGACAGGGTAGTAATTGTATCGCCGGGAACATTCAAAAAATGATCATTTATTTTGTTTGGGTCATTGAAATGTGCGGGTAGTTCAATATCAGACTTTAGAGGTAGCAAGGTGGATTTTAAATTCTTCCAAAGCCTCTTCGGATGTTTGATGTTGTTATTAATATTTGATTTGAAGTAGGCTACTTTTTCAAGGTAAATTGATTTAGTTACTAGACTCTTAAAATCCATGTAGTATTGTTTTTTGTGAGTTAATGTGTTATTAATTCGGAATTCCCTATAGGCTTTGTCTCGTAGTTTCATCATAAGTTTAATGTTTTCTGTAATCCACGGATAGGATCTATCCCTCATCTTAACACTCCTGCGAGGTGCAAATGTGTCAAACAGACACAGTAAATTGTTTGTCAGACAGTACACCATATAGTCCACGTCATGAGAAGAAATTACCCCACGCCAGTCGATCGCGTCCAGAGCCTCTTTGAAATTTTCTAAGTTAATGTTTTTGATATCCCTATAAGTTACAATTCGAGGCCGGATTTTTTCCCTTTTTATACGAAGAGTAGTTGTAATAAATGCATGAGCACCGAGAGCTTGTATTGGGTACACATTGACATCAGTAACTCTTGCGTCTGTACACACCAAATCTATAAGGCTCGAGTTGTTGGTTGTGAAGTGTGTAGGCGATGTTACTAACTGATTGAGGCTCAGGCAATTTAAAAAAATATGCAATTTGTTTAATTTACTGTCAGGTGGTGAGGTGTTCATAAAATTTATATTAAAATCGCCCAACAACACAGTGTAGTCGCAGAATGTTAACGAATTTACAGACATGGTCAGAGCGTCCAGAAACGTGTCCACATCCAACCACGGCGGCCGATAGGCGGTCCCTATGGCAAGCTTCATACCGTTTATGGTAAACACGAGCCACATCTGTTCGACCGACGTATGTGTAGGGTCAGTAGGGTGGGAATGCGCCCGTACGTTTATTCCGCATCTTATAAAGAATCCGACACCACCGCCGCGGCCGCCGCGCACGCTCAGCGGACGCGGTACATGCCGCAGCCGGTAGCCGGGAACCGACGGCGCGCGCGCCTCCTCCCCCGCCCTGAGCCATGTCTCATTTACCGCCATGATGTCAACATCATGATGATCCACTGCGGCTATAAACTCGTCATGATTTGTGCCTAAAGACCCGGCGTTAAGAAAACCAATTTTAAACTCTTTCGGGGTCATTTTATATCATGGATTAAATATAAACAAAAATAGGTATATTTTTTCCCTGCGAGAGTATCTAGATTTCTGTTAAAAAAGATTGTTTTATAATATAGCCATTACTTAAAGAGTTACAAATAATATATGAGTAAAGAAAGATAGAAACACAGTATAACAAGAACACAGGCACATATGCATATACATAATAATATCCAATAATAAGTAGGGTCGCATAAACCAGGATACAATAAAATTTACCGTCACTGCAAGGAATACCAACCTTAGCCCATACATACATTGCCGAGGATGCCAATTTACAACATGACGTAGCAGAAAAATTAATACAAAATAAATGTAACATAGCACATATCGCGAGGTCGTCAACAAGATAAAGGGTATATAGCAAAAAAATCAAAACAAAATGAAATACACAAACAGAACAGAAATATCTATTAACACCCACACTCATCAAACATAACCGTCCCCAAAAGTTTTTCTGATATCTGCGTGCGAGCGAATGCGCACAGCAGAGACGCCGTCCTCCTTCCGCACGTAGATGCGTCCCTCCCTTGTCCACACGTACTTGTACTTGAGCGCTGCCCAGCCTCTCGAGCTAGATTGAATAACTTTGCATTTGAGCGAGTCAGGTGCTCGTTTACAAACACCCTCCGAGGCTGGCCGTGTAGATCGAGGTCCGCAGTGGTGAGGCCGCGGCGCACGCGCGCCGCTTGAAGTAGTTTGTCTCGCACCGTACGGCGAGAAAGGCGCACCGCGATGGCGCGCGGCCGCGGATGCTCCGTTATATCGTGCTGGGATGAACCGGCGATAAAATTACGACGTACCATGCCGAGGCGCTCGACGTTTACTATGTCCCTATCGTCAAGGTCGACCCCCAGCTTCAGCGACAGTGTTTTAAGTATGTGTGCCGGGTTCTCGGTCTTCGACTCCGGTATACCCGACACGATGACGTCATTTAACAGAAGGTCCTGATCGCGCTCGTTCAGTTGTAGTTTTAAGTCAGCGATCGTCTCCTCCAGGTGGTCATACGATGAGGGGTCCTTCGCCTCGAACCGCTGCTCGAGGCTGTCCACCCTGTGCACTACCGCGTCCAGCCGCTCATTGCAACCGTTTATGGCAGCTCTAAATTGTGCATTTTCCTGCCGTAGCTCGCGTATATCAACCCTTAGAGCGCTTAACTCCTCCCTGAAAGCTCTGATCTCATGCGCCAAATCCAGACTCACGGGGGGGGCGACGGTGGGGGGACTATTTGGGACCGAGCAATCCGCTGCTGCACCTTTAACCGGTGTCGCGGAATTGTCGGTCTTGGGAAGTTTCGCCTTGCATCCAGGACACAGCCATGCAGGCGAGGGGGTTGCTGAAGGCGGTACTCCCACACAGGCGCGGTGGTAGCAGACCGCGCACTTGCCACACCGAATGCTTGCTGTCGCAGCAATGAATTGACCGCATCCACCGCATTTGGCCATGATATTTTGTGTTGCAGTATTTGGGATAACACACACACGACACTCACACAGAAGTTAAGGATTTTTTTTTTTCGAACAGGGTAAGATGGATAACCAACAACCGTCAACTAAATTTTTTAATCACTCACTTGAAGACTAACAATCAGCGTAGTAACTCATTTAAAAAAAAAAAACAGAAACATGGATATATGGTGGCTTGAAAATTCTTTTATGGAAATTGGTTTTTTGAAAATGTATATACATTGTGAAAAGAATTTGGATTGTCCATTCGTAGGAAGCTTCGTTTTATCAATATATTTGTGGCTTCTGTAATACAAACTCTATTGTTGTGAACGACACGGATCCATGGTGAACCAGTACTGATATTCTACAGGCGTACTGAGAATTACAGTGCAGGATTTAATTTGATTTAACTATTTTATGATGCTGCACTGCTGGACTGCTTCATTGGCCGAGTGGTTGCAAGTGCGACAGCCGGGCAAGCGATCTCGGGTTCGATTCCCAGGTTGGGCAAAGTGTTACTGGGTTTTTAAAAAAAATTCACAGCAGTAGTACGGAGTCTGGAATTGTGCCCGATATATGGCAATAGGCTGACCCCCTATTACATAGGACTCATAACATAATATTGAAAAATGGGTGTTACATTGTACAGTGGCATAATGTGCACCTCTGCCTACCCCTTCGGGGATAAAAGGCGTGATGTTATGTTATGTTATGTTATGTTATTTTATTTTATGGTAACTTCTTCCTAACTTATATTTATTACGTGTGGCTAATAATATAACTAAAATAAAAAAAAAACATTCTGTTCATTCATTAAAATTTAGTAGTTCGTCTTTTGTTTTTCAAGACACAATTTTATGCAGTGTATGCCCGTAAAACTATTAGTTCTACATCATCGACAACAAATACATTATCATGAAATTTTATGCAGTGTATGCCCGTAAAACTATTAGTTCTACATCATCGACAACAAATACATTGTCATGAAATAAATTCAAGATAAATATTAACGACAAGAAACTAAATTTACAAAGGCAACACAAATTGCTTTCACTAGCCTCATTCACACAATACAGAGCTTATTTTTTTCTATCAACGACAAAGCCTTTTGTAGCACACGTCTATTCTTTTATTGTATACAAATCCACATTTGCGACAATATATAGCTTAAAACAAATCGATATAGGCCTTTAGTACTTATATAAAGGGACTTGTATAGACGATGATTGAATTATTTGGTACTAACATAGGTTTATTAGGAATAGGTTACGTTACGTGGTAGTAAAATTACTGTATACTTTATTTTTTTATTTAACTAAGTAATAATAAATATAGTAGTATTTGGATACTTTAGTGGCGTTGTTAAGCATAATTTGTTATTTATTTTTAAGAGTTTTCGATGGTAATAATTAGATTTTTTCGTTCACGCTAGGTTCAGATACATAACAAAAAACCTATAGGAAGCGAAATATTTGCAAGAAATGTAAAAAGAGTTGATATTTTTATCTTTGTCTTTGAAATTTCTGTAGTTGCAGACAATCTACGATATATAAATTGTTATAATAAAGATTTCCACTATTTTGTAGCTGGCTATCTCTCATACCGAGATTCCTACCATCATATTTGACCAGTAATTAAATTACTCTGCCCTATACTTTGAAAATAATGCAAGATACAAATAAGTTTTTTAGACAAAAGTTGTTCAGAATTTAATTGTCTACAATATCTATATACACACCAGTGGCATAAAATTCATACGAAATAAAATATTTGCAATAAATATGTAAAAAATATAGTTTTTTTGGTCTTTGATCAGGTTTCTATAAAGCTATGACATATAGGGTTTGAGACAAGCTATGAGTTATCAAAATAAAGATTTATAAAAAAATATTTAAATTAGTCGACTATCTCACATTCCATTGTGAATCCCTTACTTTTCTTGGTTAAAAGATAATTCATCCCTACAATAAATAGGCTTATTTCTTGATCAATATAGTCACCCTACCGTCTGCGGTATAGGACGATAAAGTTCCTCTATTTCCTATCATAATCCTATCCTTCTAACGTATGTATTTTGTCATCACACAATACATGTCTTCGGCGGTTGCTAGCGGATAATTTCAACCGATATAGCACGCAGTAATTAAGCGTAAAGATTAGCCTCTGTAATCGTTTCTCGCTGTCACTTAGAGACGGAACTGGTTTGATTTGATCATATTATTATTTGTATCTAATTTCATTAGGGTTGTAGGATGCCATTAGAGATTGATTGACTTCTTGTGTTAAGTGGTAGTTTTTGTAGGTGGTCTTTTGAACCCACACTGAGCTATTGGAAGTACTAACCAGAAGTTAAGTTTACCAATATTGCCTGTGAAAAAAATGCCTGCATCCAAAAATAAATCGTTCCAAAACAAATTCGCTGATTTGCGATTCATAGGAACGAAATATGAATGTGCCCCACAAAACCCCATAAATGTAACCCAAACATAATTCATTTTACCGACACCTTGAATTTCCTTTAGTACCAGGCTAACATAAAAGCTAACAGTCCGTTACGTCGCACATTTGATACATTATCAGCCCGTATTCGGCTAGTGTCCGCGTCACGCCTGACGGATTCGCGGTCCTACCGTAATTGTGGTAATGGGGGCTCGATACCACACGGGCTTCATGCTGTCCTGGTAATTATATAGTGGAGATTTAATGGCATATTGAAGGTTCGGAGGGATTTGAATATTTTGGTTTGGATTGTTGAAACTTAAATGTAAGTTTAACTACCTTTCGCCGTGCATTTTTTTTGGTATACTATTTTGTACATTGTAATGAAAAATTAATCAATCGTTTCTCAAAAGGGTACCAATTAATTGTAAAAGATGGATGGCGGGGTTCACATTTCACAAATTATTGTTCAGCAAACTTTGATACAAAAAACATTAAACCACAAAATCGATGAGCAATATTAACTGCAAATTCTGACTACCCCCTTAAGCTCGAGATAATACCTAGTGATACGACGGCGACTTAGCTCGCGTCTCCGTCTTCCATTAATTCCGCCTTTGACACGCCGTAATGACAGGCCTGGCCCTGACGCCTATATTAACGACGTATTCAAATAAAGAGCGCCCGAAGCTGACACACAGATAATGTATTTAGATTGAAAGTAACGTTAGTCCTTTATTATAATTATTATGTTACTTTACACAATTATAATTATAATTGCCTATTTATTTGTTCTTAACAAAACCAATTTTTAATTTGTAGTAAGATGATCGCTTCATGTTTATGTGCGCCTAGTCATTTCAATAGGCCGTCTGTACATTATCAAAACTGTTATCTGTCTGTGATTGATTGTTCGGTGCTAATGAAGTCAATGAACCGGTTAAATTGTAGAAACAATGCATAATTATTGCTATTTAGTGTTTGTACCTGGTACAAGGTATATGATTAAGTAATTAATCAATAAAAAAAATGTTTTAACTAATAATAAGGTAAATAAAAAGTAAGTGTCCTCTATTTGTTCGTAATATTAAACTCCTATTACAAGTTAACTAACCGTGGGAACTTTACACCGACGATCTTTGAGAAAAATAAGTTGCCTAAGGCAATGAGACAAGTCAGACTGATATCATTTTACACAAATTATATCTGTGACTTACGTTATTATGATATTTAGTAAAAAGTGAGTGTATTTTGTAAACACCTGCGGGGTACTGTCTTATTTTAATATATAATATAATATATAGGTCACTACGTTATGAACTGTAATAAGTTGATTCTTAAAGTCTTACATAAACCCTAAAATCCTACCTACCTAACTCTTATTTATGTTGGATTCATTTGTTTTTTACAACTTGATAACAATGTATTTCCCATCCATGGAAAAATACTCACACAACGACCTAAATGTATCAATCCAAATAATTTAAACATTCAAAAGGTTTAATAGGTTGCTGTAAAATAAGATTAAGTTAATGGACAAAACAAAAAAGAACTCTCCAAAACATTAAAAGGACTGGAACATTTACTTCATAATAAATTAAATTTTATTTTATCCATTTAAGTGATCGCATCCATCTTCGTTCCATTACTCCATTAAGGGTACATTCCACTGGCCACTCTCCAAGCGCCGCGACATAAACCGTCCACGGCCGCCGTCCGATTTTCACAGATTTGTTCATGAAGCTATAACATTCTCTAGCTTAGTATAAACATGTCAATATGTGTAATTGTGTATGTATTTCATGTTCTTAAATAGACATGAATAGCCTTGAGATCTACATACAATAGTTACGGTTCTTTCAAAGAGGACCCCAACGTTTGCGATAACATTTAATTTCTATTGAGCTATCTCTTGATTGTCTTACACAATTGTTGGGCATGAGGATTTGCATCATGAGCCCAACCTAAGACTAAGGTGCTGTGGATTTCCTTGACCCTTTGTCCCATAAGAAAGCTCTCTTTTACTGTTTCAACTAATATGTCCTCCAGAAAGAATAAACAGACGTAATATTACACTATACGATATAATATTAAACGAGCTGACATCGTTAACAACTTCGCGTTAAGTCTCAAATGTTTCGAATTTCTAGGCTATACTAGTACAAATAACTTTAGTCCTAAAAACTACAACGCGTAGTTATGTGAGCGAGATCTTTGAAAGCGAGATCGTTGTGACTTGAATTCCCTTAAATAGTTTACTTGTTAACTCCAAGGTCAAAGTAAATAATCGCTTTCTAAGCATAATCTTTGTGTTCATTACTCAGTCAGATTGACAGTTTGACAGTTAAAACCCCACGCTTTATCTGAAAACAAAAATTCGGCGTGCAAACAGGTGCTCACCTGGTTCCACGTAAATATTACTTTTTTGTTGAACTCCAACAATCATTGTGAATACAAGGAAAAACGTAGTCATTTTCCATAAGTACCTTGCTATTATAAAAACATGTCCAAGATAAGCTTTTTCATTAGTCTTCCCTCTTACAATTTAGAGAGGAAAC